ACATTCATGTCTAACAGAATTAATTAATCAAACAAACCTTCTCTTTATCCCCAGCGGAGCGCAGAATGGAAAATACACACACAAAGATGCACATTGTAAGAATGAGGGGGGGAAAAGTGATAGTAAACAAATTCACTAATCACAGCATTTAGCAACATCTGAGGAGGAGGAAATGTGTGTGCCACAGTGCCAGGCGCGTTGAGCCTCATGCCATAATCTTTCCATCATATTTGATACAGCTGTACTCGGAAATAATGGTTTATAGTTTACAATAGACCCATTTCATACCTCGTAGTATTTCAAAAGTATACCTTAACCTTAGCCAAGCCTTTATCCTAAGATGGAAATGGCACCATGGTGCAAATGCCAAGTGGATGCCAAACTGGATGCAAAATATTAGTTACTACAAGTAAAAGAAAACATGTATTGAAATTGAAGTTCAATTGGTCCATGTTTTAAAATAGAAAGAGAGAAAATACAATACAATATATGCATCTAAAGGTCATGGTTTTTCTCTCGCTAAGCAGAGTTAAATGGTTAGCACTCTCGCTTCTCAGCAAGAAGATCCTGGGTTCGAATTCCGATCGGAACAGGATCTTACCCAGGATCTTTCTGAGTGGAGTTTGTATGTTCTCCCCGTGTCTGTGTAGGTTTCCTCTGGGTGCTCCGGTTTCCCTTACCACTAAAAACATGCACACTAGGTTAAATCCTCCAGCTCTGGTCCTGACCAAGCCGAGGATTTACATCTGGAGATGGGTTCCCAGGCTCTGTACTACGGCGACAACTGCCGTATCAGGATGGGTCAAATGCAGAGAATGAATTGCCCTACGGGGGCTAAATAAAGTCCACCTTTACCTTTACCTTAAATATCACCGTAAAGTATTAAGACTGAAATTCCTAACATATCAATTAGGCCGTCTCCTTCATGTCAGAGTGATATGTCCAAACTAAGGCCCTCTGCTCACATGTGGGTCAGGTTAGGTCAAATGAGGGACAATACTTTTAGCAATGACAGCGTAACAAGCCATGTAACAAGAGTGAAGCTCTTACCGTCAGAGTGTGGGCTGTAGCACATGCTGATCCTTTATAAAGTTGTTATTGTTAAAATATGTCTGAAACTTATACTCTTGATAAATTATGATAAACTTTTATAGAAATTCTTTCTGGTCCAGGGTTCACTGCGCTGTGGCTTTAGAAGACGGGTGACAATACAGCATCACAGATATTAGTAACAAAGCATTTTGTAGATGCCAATCCTGTCCATGTCAAAGCTCCAATGTGCTGAAAGGCGCTGATGTAGCTGATGAGAAGGGCATTTGTCAATCAGCCATCTATCATAGCTAATTGTAAAGCTAAGAACGACTCGAATCCAGTCAAAATAGTTAACAATCCGGGATGAAGCCAGGTTAAGTGGACACCTTCCTAAAAGGTTTGGACACCAATCAGAAAACTGATTTGGTCTAGTACAAGAAGAGAAATCAGTTTTCTTCCTAAAAAAATGAGAGTGTATCAAATTTTATCAGGTTTCTGTGTTGTTACTGCTGAAGCTCAAAGCAGATGGTTGCTAATTGCTCTGATGGATAACAGAACCACGCACACACGCACACACACACACACACACACACACACACACACACACACGGACACACACATGCACAATTTGTGCAGAAGTGATTAGGATTTCATAGGCTTTCTGCGAGAAACACTGCTTATAAACAGCCACTCGTCTGCCACTTTTACAGCAGGCGTACCATACACACAAGTAAGTAAGTAAGTAAGTAAGTAATCTTTATGTATATACCGCCTTTCACAGACCAGAGTCTCAAAGCGGTTTACAATTGTTATTTTTTGGGCACTTGTCCTCTCACTCCACACAGAGATGGGAGCAGGGACAGCTCTTAAAGTACAGGACAGAGGAGCACCTTCTTGTCAGCTCCAACACTTTACACTTCACAGCTGGAGTGTGCTTTCTTTTACCATCGCCTCACCCAAAACTCTCCTTAATGAGATGGTTTACATGCAGTGCACACTTGTAGAGCTCAACTCGCTCCCTTAACGCTTCTCTGTCATCAATGTCTGCTTGGTAACAGAGGGAGGCATTTTTGACTTATAGTGGATATCAATATTTCCAACACCAAGAAGGGGGGTGGGATAGGGGTTTAGGATGCCTCGTAAAGCCAAATGATAGTTGGAGGGGATGCGAGACAGGCATAAGAGGCATAAATAGGAAAAGCAATTGGCTGTTAACATGATATAGCCAAGGGGTGTAAATAACAAGTACAGATCGACGGCACAGCTATGATTTTGAATATAAGTGTGTGCGCAGAGAAGGATTAACAACTCAACTTGTTGTGCATTTTGTTTGCCTTTGGAAGATTTATGTTTGGCTGCAAAATGTGTATCATTCACCCGAGGATTTATTCTAACTGCCAATGTCCAGAGTGTCTATCGGCGAGCTGTAAATAGCGGCCTGTCCCGGCACACACTGTCAAACTGTCTATAAACCTGTCACCTATATGAAAATCTCCAATACCAGAAAGGGGAGAGAGAAGGCCCCCATTAAACTATCACTCTGCATCAGGGATCAGGGGACGTGTCCTGGCCTGGCATTTAAATGGTGCACATGAAGATCAACACAAACATGACTTGTATGTGGACATGGTGATTTGACACTGTAGTAGTTTCATTTGGAAAAATTGTATATCTTAGGCAGTGTTGCTGTTTCAACTGCACTGTAAAAATATATAGGTCTTATCTTACCAACCTGAGCGGCTTATTTAATCACATTTTATAAAAACAATTACAAACATGGATGCAAGGAAAGAGTACTGGACCACGCTTTTTATAGGTATGCTTTTTTGCTTAGGTTGAGAGTACACTGATAAAAATTGTAGTAGACTTGTAGAGAGACTTTCTAAACTACTTGGGCTCAGTGTGATAAACATTTTAATTGCATCTATTTCCATGGTTTACATTTTACTCAATCACATAGTGCTAAAAATGAAACCCATCTTAAGAGGAATAGGCAGAATACATGCTCTGATACCATTTGGGATTCAATATGAAGCTTGGTCCCATAGGTGGAGTCGATACCAATGCCAGTTCGATATCCTTATCTAAGTAGACATAACAAATGATTTAAACTCATTTAGAAATGAAATTAGGAGGGAAACAATATTTCAGCGACATTGAAAAGCATGCAGTCACACTTAAAATGTATTTTATCTAGTTATTGTACTAGAAACCCTGAAAAAAATAGGTGACCGATACCGAGTTCATATACTGAGCGTTTAGCATTATATAATAGTCGTAACCAAGTCCTTACCGAGCCCTAACCAAGCCTAGCTCAAAATCTAGTGGTGACTATGCACCTACTGACAGATGAGTAAAATGTCTTATACAGGGCTCAGCCGTGTGCCACCAGTCTACCTTAAAATCTAAAACCAAACACTCCACATCCAGCTTCAATTCTTTTACCACTTCTACCACTACACACACGAACAATATCACACTCTTGCTGACTGGGGTGCTTGAAAATGGGGTCAAGGAGTCAGCGCTTAACCAAGGCAAGAATCAATAGGGCTCTGAATGTTTGCGCACCTTTTGACCCTATCACGTTTCAGAGGTCTCCCCATCTTTCTCCATTATCTCTCAGTCTCTGCTTCTCTCTTTTCGCACAGCACTATAGGATATGTAATAACGAAGCCCCGGCGAATTCTGGCAGACAAGAAAAACTGCATGTCAATTGGTTAGTATGGACATGTCCACCCCCTTAGCTGTTTTCACTCGACTGCGGGAGCTCTGTGTGTGGTGACTCCAAGTCAGTGGCACCCCGCTAGCATCAGGCTGGATGTGAGAGGCAGATGAAATAGGAACACGCCGGTGACAGATCGACGAGGCAGAGCGTACATGTAAAGCACAAACTGCTTTCTTCCCGACTTGGGAGAATCTCATTTTTTCTCATTAGGGGGAACTCATCTAAGCTCAGAGAATAAAAGCAACACTGATAGCTGGTATTTCTTAGCTCGCTCTCTCCTGCACCCCGTTCTTACGCTTTTTACTCCCACTGTGCACAAGCCACCTAATTAATTACTACCTACCATCACATTGCTGCAACAACCAGTGGCGGCTAATTAACAGCACGCCTCAATCATGAACCTACTTCAAGAGGTCTGGACGTGACTGTGGTATGACTGTTTGACAAGGACAAATTCACAGACAGAAACAAGCTGCAGTGCTATAGCAGCTGGAAGAAGACACGGACCCAACGCACAGCAAGAAACATTCTGGGAGAAAAAAGTCATTTTGAGAAGTCTACAGAGAGAAAGCAGCGCTGTTTTCCACATCGAGCACTAACTATGGCTTCAACTGGCCACAAGAGACATTAGGCCTAATGCAAAAATCTAAACTAATCCTTGTCTTCAAAAACAAAAGGCAATCGTTCAATAAATGACAAAGCTGTAGGTTAAACCAGCTGTAGGCTGTAGGTCTTAATAACAACAAAAATGTAACTATGTAATAAAAATCCATTCAACTAAATCTTCACTCTCAAAACAGTTTGGTTCTATCAATAGTTTTCACATGCTCAGCCAATCAGCTCTCTGCCTGAAAAGTCAAAAAGGGTATTCACACGGCTCTTACTTACAAGTTTGCAAAAGTTAAAATGTTTTCTAATAGGATAAATACAGCTTGTTGAGCTCCGATTGTTCTCATGTTATATTTACAAGACTCTTTGTTGCAACATAAAAAGGTCAGGAAGCTTTGACAAAATTCTTTGTTTATCATCAATGAGTCATTTTTACAGCAGATCACAGATAAATGTCATGGAGCTGGCAGAGCTTCAGTAATGCTATTACATTAACTATTCAGCTTCTGCTCAATGACTTGGAAAGAGCTAAATTAAATATATGGGGTATGAATTGGTGGAAGAAGAAAATGAGGATGAAGTATGTGAGCACAGTGAGGTGGCAGGCAGATGAGGGGTCAGGCCCTGGACTGTGTTAGCCAGCGTGGAGCCACAGGCTGCAGGGGGAGTCCCGGCTACAGCACCACACGTCACTGCCAATCCCTCTGAGCCTGACCAGACCCAGACCAGACCCTGTGCTTCTGCAGCCCCACCGCCTCACCGCTGCCCACAACAACACTCATATCTTAGCATCAGGAAAAAAGTCAAAGGAATACAGTAAACCGCTATAGAAAAACATCTGAATGGTAGACTATGGCCAATGATCTCATTTGTTTATGTGATAATATCAGTGTCCTTTCATTGAGTTTCCAAACAGAGCACTATTATTGCATTAGTGTCTCATACATTGTTCAGGCTGCAACAGAATAAACCTCAAAATGACAAATACTACAGTTTAAAGGAACAGTATGTACAATTTTGATTTATTGAGATTTTCCGAAATTACAAAAACATGAGGTAATAGAATCACACCTTTCCCTTATGCTCTTATATCTGTTACATAGAAAACAACCATGAAAACTGTATGTTTAATTTAGTATCTACGGTTACACACATGCACACTCTCTCTCTCCTTCCTTCCTTTTCATAAAAATAATAAATGATGTGTATATTCCATGGTGCATTTATCGGACATATATTTTAGATAAAATATATGTCTCTTCAAAAACATGAGAATACACCCTTCACTCTACATGTATCTACAGACTTTAACAAAGGGCAGATGTACTCCATAGAGTACAGTAAATGTGTTCAGATCATAATACAGATTATACACACTCACTCACACTGCCATAAATCCTGATTGATGATAATAATATAAGAGGAAAATTATACAACATTTCTTTTGTTTACCTTGCTTTCTTTGCAATGATCTTTAAATCTTTATAAGCTTTTTTTTTTTAAACACCTTCAAATTAATTCACGTGTGTAGCTACATTATGAAACATGTTTGAAGGAAATAATTCTGCATTTATCCTACCTGGTCTTATTATTCATAAAAACCATGAAATCTTTATCAAGTTGTTGCAGGGAAGACAAAAAGAGAAAACCAGAGTGAAAGTGAAAGAGTGTACTAGTAATGGGCCAAAAGCCGAGAGGAGAGGCCATGTTCACTGTCAGCCATTAACACAAGAAAGACTAAATAATTCACTGCGCACTGTCACCTTACACAAGTCTGAACTCAGCAAGGTCTGCCTTTGAGTCAGAGAAATAATGAGCTCACTAATGCCATCCTGTGGTGAGCTTGTGTAAGATACCACAAACCGTAATAGAGGCGAAAAGGCTGTTTCACATTTCTTCTATCCAGTGGAAAGAAAACTATATGATATCACGTAGACTCAGTGTTGTATCAATGAGACCAACAATACTTAGCAGCTGTGCAAACAATGCAATCTCACCTGGGCTCATTTACATGGAAACAGTGAGACAGGTGTTCAGGCGACACATGTCAAAAAGCACAGGCACAAGAGAAAAGGTAATTGCGGGGGATTGAGAGGTGTTTTTGAGAGAACCACATGGAAGAGGGAGAGAGGGGAGAGAGCGACCCGTAACTTCCACTGACAAGCTTTATTACTGTCCCACCTGCAGCGAGACAGCAAAAAGCACTTAGCCCCAGCCAAGAGGCCTGACACTGGAGGACAGTTTGAAAGGGAGGCAGGGAAGGATCGAAGAGCAGCACAAAAAAAGCAAGAGCGGAGGAGACATGCATGGATAATTGAAGTCGTGATTAGACTCTACGTGCATGAAAGAAAAAGCATAAATGTTTACCTTGTTTTCTAAGTGTAAACAGCTATAACGTTAAGGCTTTATTTTCTAAATGACTTAAGAAAACGTACAAATCATTATGTTTCTGTGACCCAACTGCTAATACTAAAAACAGGAGGAGATAACCAAAAAGTATTTTAATCTGCAAAATCTTCGAAACCCAAAATACTGTTGAAAAGTGTATCTTACTAAAATATAAGTCTTGTGATCCACAAAAAGAAAATAATAAAGTGATTGTAATGAGGGGAGGTTTATTACTTCCTGCACACTGACAGCTCACATCTATTAGTGCACCAGTCTGCTGATGTATCTGCTGATGAGCTATGCCAAGTAATGACGTGCTTCACTGGCTGTGAATCTATAGGTCTGCCTCTGCGTCTCTCTGGCTCCACGGCTCTGGGTGGAAAACCACAGTCACTAAATCAAACCCATCCGGAGGAAGGGAGAGAATGAAGAGAAAAGAAGGAGAGGGGCCTAACAGCTCGTTCTTCAGTCTTTCCCAGACTGGAATGTGTTGGAAGGTGTACAAATCAACCAGCAGTGACTGCACAATAAGGTCAGTGTGACCAGAGAGAACCCTAACATCAGCACACAAACAAACAGGTTACACACACAGAGTGATTGAGTGAAGGCATAACCCTGTGCCCACCCTGTGAGCAGCTAATAACTGTGGCACGGAGCCAAACCCACTGTCTCCTCACTAATTCTCTGTTGCTTGCCAGGGCTGGCGCCACGCTGCAGAACAGAGGCCTGTTTCTCTCAAAATCCTGTGATCATTGCATTAGTAAATTGCTCAAATAGATGGATGTGGAGAAAAACACAGGCACAAAGACTCTTCGGCCCACTTCACTACAAAGAATACATATTATAGCAAAGACAATAGGAACACTATTAATGATTAGTTATTTGGTGATAATAGCTCTTCTCACTTAACACACACACCTCAACGCCCGTGCTGCTGGGCTGGAAAAAGAGGGCAGTGGGGTGGCCCTGTGCCAAATGTACTGCTGCCAGGAGAGTTCACTGCATCTCCAGAGGCATTTTTTCACACACACTCATGCAGAGACACACAACACACATACACACACACTTCCATCTGTTGTGCTTCATAAGAGCAGAGGCAAGCTTGTCACTGTCATGTGACGTTAGCCCACCCTCGTGCTACACATGGGAGGGACAAAGGAAGAGAGGAGAGAGACTGAAGAGGTTAGCCTGAGTCTGCCAACACCACTGCTCTCTCTGCTGCTATCGTTCATCTGCAGCTGCTTGAATCCAGTAAGGAAGTTTAATTTCATAAACTAATGAAGTGTGTAAAAAAAGAAGAATACAACAACATCTAAACAGCTCTTCCTTGTGTCGTTTTACGTCTCATGTATTAGCTCTCTTTTGTGTCTCCGCCAAAGCTTTCATTGACGGGTAATTGTAATTGTGCCGACTTGGCTTGCAGCCAAAGTCTAGCATGTTAGGAAATACCAGCTGTGCAACTGCTACTCTCTTCCTGATCTCATGATAGTCACAACAGACAGGTACATGACAGTGCCTAACAAAAAGGAAAACAATGGAAATGCGTAAAATATAAAATTGTATTTATAATAGTGCTTGTTGTAGCTTTTCTTACATAAACCTTCTGTCTGCTTTAAACAGCAGTCATTCAAATTGGAGCAGCCCATTAGGTTATCGCTATACTATTAAATATGAATGCATGCTCAGCAGACGAGTGAAAAAGGTTTACCAGTACATTTGTGAAGGTGATGCAACAAGATAGGGATTAATGTTTAAAATGTAACAAAAAGTCTTAAATCATAAAAGATTGTTTCCTGTGTCTTTTTTTTTTTTGCAGAAATGAAGGAAATGGCCCATGTCATGTCATGCAGCAGTGGGACGCACATGAGGAAGGGAACACTTAAATAAGTCATGAAAAGCCCCTTCTCAACCACTGTTCTTCTCACTGAGAAGAACAGTGCTGTAGATAATGGAGGATGTATGTCTTTGCAAACCACCACTGGCTGTGTGTTTAGTCATGGGACCGTCGGAGCTCTGCGGTCGAGCTGTGAGCGTGGTCAACGTCAAGAAGGACAAAACAGTAACAAGTAACGTTATCCAGCAATGCAGACAAGACGTCAAAGAAATAGTGAAAATTAAAGATCTGGGGTTGAAATAAACTGTGTTAAAGTTTGCAGGAAAAAAATAACACTTTTCATATAAACACAGAGCTTCAAATCCCTCTTGGTGGCGACGACCTCCCTGGGGGCACTCTCGCATACTGTATATATAGGGCATTTTTGCGGCATCTTAACATCTTCCACTCCATCTCTCCAGCCCTTTTGTTAATTATTCCTGCATGCCACCACCACTCATGCACCCAGAGTATTCATCATTAAATAGCAATGCAAGGAGAACTACTTTGCTCTGCGTGTCTGCATGCAAGTGTGCGCCACTATAGACACTGGCAGTCCGTTATTGTACGTATAAAGCGACTAGTGTGAGGCTTTTGTGGGCAGGTTTGTTTGGCTTAACTAAGACGTAAAGAGGTAGCAGCAGTTGCTATTTAACAAAGCAGAGGAAGAGAAGAGAGATTTGCAAAACAAAGTACAGGGAAATCATTATCTCCTCTGGTCTTTGAGAGCAGTTTTGCAGCTTGTGGAAATGTCACGAGACAGAAAACAAACATTAGAAGTGTGAGAAGGTCATTGTCAATACACGCAGGGCTGAATAAGTGAAGAAATGTGTTGAGCTTCAGGACGTGTAATAAATAAGACAGGTGACACAAGAGTGGTTTTAGAGCAGCCATAAACCTGCTATTTTTCTTTTACTTAGTATTTCCTGCCATGTCAAACCTCGGTGTCAAGGGCACAGGAAATGGAAAGATCCGATACAAATACAAAAGACACATTTGTATTGAATTTCCCCTTACAACACCGATTTTACTCTCTATCTATTTTTTGTTGACAGTTGGTACAATATTCAAATTTGTGGAAATGTGTATAAATAAAGCTGTAAGTCAAATCAAACATTCTGCGATAAAACCAGTTTGAAGACAAAACCACATGAAAACATAATCCAATTAACACAATGGTTAATAGTGATTTTATTCCAACAGGAGTTTTTGTTTTTTCCCCTAAATTTGCCTCAGCCGTGAAAGGGACTGTTAAAAATAAACATAAAAATGTGATTCTACCATAAAATAGATCCTATCCCCAGATAGCAGCTGTACCCACTTTTATGTTACCAAAGAAAATGGGGATTGTCGGGTCTGTGTTTGATCTTTCTGTGAGCAGCGATTGTTTCCCCTAATAATTAGAGTAAACAAGTCATCAGAGGCCAAAACTACAGTCCTCCGCATCAATAAGAGTGTATTTGTGTGCTCTCTGATTTTTTACTGATTTTTGAGGACGTTTTAGGGAAAAAAGCTGAATATTGTGAAAGCAGTCATTGAGCACAGAATTCTGCCAAGAATCATTCCCAGTCCTATTCCTTTAATTAAAACAATCCTGGATCCAGACAATGATTTGCCCATTTTTCAGTTACTAACATGCAGGCGAACAAACCCTGGTGATTACAGTACCCCGCAGCCGGAGGTAACAAACTCAAATAAAATGCTGGGTATAAAAGTTTCTAACTACTCACTGGAAGTTGATCGTTCACTGGCCTCTGTCTCTGAGGTCAAGGGTTTGGAGCGGGAAGAAGGGAGGTCTGCAGCCGGTTTTGATGGTCCTGCGCCAGGATCAGGCTCTTGGCTGAGGCCAGAGGGGGGTTCAGTTACGGCCTGCAAAACAATACATGATTAAATATCACTTGAAAGAATAAACATTAATATTGTCATTTACAAAGACAGTATGCTGCATGAGGCTACTGGGTGCAATACACATCAAAAGAGAGAAAGCAATATAGACATTAGTAGGGCTGCACAATGTACAGTATAGAAAAAATATCTTGACAATAATAGCAAGTGCAACACATTTTATATGGCAAAGATGAATGTATATGTTATTGCATGCATACACTTTGCTGCTGGACCCCACAGACTCTCTTAGTGCGGTGGCTGGAAAGAACAAAACATGGCAGAGATGAGTAAACGCTGCAGTTTCAACATGCGTATTAATGGGTTTGGTGGAACAGAAAGAACACTATGAATTTCATGATAGCAATGCTTGACACCACTATCGAATATTGCACTTATTTCCAATACCATGCAGCCATAGAAGTTAGAATATCCCAAGTACGTTGCCAGGAAAAGTGATATTTTCACCATATATTTGAAATGCATATACTACATTTTAAGTTTATGATAAATAATTGCTTAGTTCGGCAAATTTCAACGAACTGTCACTGTGAGCCCCACCTATAACCCAGATGTAAACTCTAATGGGGATTTGGTACAGAGATGAAGAATTGCAGAGCAGAGAACCACAACTGAATCTGCATCATAATCTGCAAATATAGCAATTAACTTGTGATCTACTCTGCTAACGTTGCAGCCATTTTTAGCCGCTGTCACATATCAGCTATAAAAAGACTGCACCTGAAAGGGTTGTGCATTACTGTCCTCTCCCTGAAATGAGGAGGCGTGAGCAGACGGATAGACAGGAAGGATCAAAAACACAAGGAGACAGAGAGGGAGAGGGAGTTCTGACAGCACCGAGTCTGTTTGGATGTGCACTACAGCTGAGACAAGGAAAAGGCAAAGAGGAGCTGGAGGAGCACGAGCTGACCACGGCCTGTCAGAGAGGAGAGATAGAGAAGTGTACAGGGGAGTTTCAAACAGCCAGTGACGAGAAGCACTGAGACAGGCGCAGGAGGGGCAGCTCATCTGAAAACAAAAAGGCACCTTGGGCATATGAAATATACATAGACTCTCAGCTGGAGACAAAGACACAACACGACAGAGCCGAGGATGGCCCGGAGGACTCCAGACCAGACTCAACTAGCCTGCTAAAAACAGGCTAAAAATAAAACACATGGCTAATGAGTTTTCAATGGCAAATATAGGGAAAATGCACACATAATGCATCAAAGCTAAACGGTGTTATGAGCTTGTGTTTTTGTAATGCCACTGCTGTCAACTATTTTTTTCATTTAAAGGTGCACAGCTCAACCATCCTGCTTTTGTGAAGTGGTCCGATACATGCATCTTGTGATATTGTAGTGCTTTAAAACAGACATTCCTATATAACATGTAACTTGCAACATGCTTGTTTTCAATGTAAAAGGAAATGTTTAATGTGGAAAGCATCTTTAATTCATCAGAACGATATTATTGAGTCGCCACTAACAATAGCGATAGATGCAAATATTAAACACGTGAACACAATGTTAGTAAATAAGTGCTTGGTCTATTGTGCTTACATCTACACACAAATCCAATCGATGTGAGTAAAGGTGAAGTAGACGAAACGTGACTCTATGGAAATGCACCTGCGGCGAGTGGGTCACAGGGGATTTAGGTTAAAATTTGTTTTAACAGGCTTCTTTTGACCTCGGCACCTGCCTTCACTTCAGCCTGCCAGCTGCCAGCAGTTAAAACCATTTAAAGGGACCTCGCTTAACAAAACCCAGTCTTTTTGTTCCAGTTCCAGTTCCACTCATGGCAATGCTTCTCACAGAAATCCTTTTGAGTTTGAATGACGGGATTTTTGCTATAATCCCAAATAGATCTATGGAGCTGAAAAGTCCCACTCATCACATACATTTCAAACAGATTCCATATTTTGCATTTTGAATAATTCATAGGGCTGTGTAAATGAAATAGCACTGAAAAAGATAATATAACATAAATATTTTACAGGACACAGCTGTCTATATTTTTTTTATATACGTCAAATCCATCTAATCTTTTTTTCTATTCTCAATTTACAGTAAATCTGTTTCATTGATTTTTGTCCACCTGTTGCTGTCTGAAGTGTTTTGATGCAAAGAGAGTAATTATAATTGGTATCTTTAAGTAAAAACAATCTCTATAACTTGAGGCTTAGCTTTTTCTTAATTCAATAAGGTTAATGAATCTTAAAGAGAGTAGAATGAGAGTGGGGACTTGCACATTGCAGCGCAGGTGTCAGGAGGTGAAATGAGACAGATCTGCTCTGGTTGTGCTAATTGAGGTTAATTCCACAGTTCAACATTATCTTCTCTAAACGGTGAGCAAGAAGTCAGTAATGGATGATGCCACAGGACGCAGGCGGTATGGAAGAGCAACACAGACCTATTCAAGCACAAACTACATGATTTCTTCGAGAGACATCTTATGCTCAGAGTTAGAAAAAGTAAAATGTACTGTTGAAATAACTACTGTGAGAGTGTGTCATGCGTACAGACGGTAGACAGTCTGGACAGGAAATATACTTGAACATGCCAATAAGTAATTCTAATGAAGACTTTTTTGATCTCACGCCAGAGAAATGTACATATCACATTTGGCATGGATAGAATCACTCAAATTGTGCAAAAGACAGAAGTGTGCAACATGTTAAAGGTAAAAAATATAGTCTGTGCAGGATATAATTATGTGGCAATAGCAGTGAAGGTAATCAGTCCTAGTGCATAAGTGACAAAAGTGACTTATTGTACAGTCAGACAGAGGCGGGGCTAATGGCCCTGCGGTAGCGTGTGTGTACACATTTAGAATTTAGTAGCTAACAAACATTCTAAATAACAGCATAAGTTGTGATGATGTGTGTTTGATTGCAGCCCACGGACAAGTCTGTGTTGTCTGTGCGCTGGGGAGTGGTCTGTTTACTGCTGTGTGCGGATACACAGGGCTAGTCCAGTGTGTGCTCTCAGCTCGACTGACATTTCCTCAGACGTGCTTGACATTTCCAGAGGATTTGAAGATTTTATCCCCTGGGTATTTGAGGAGCTGTGTGTGACTGTGCAGGGCTGTGGCCTGCCTTCAGGGCCTCCATCTCGCTCACCCATAGTGTGATCAGGAGAGGACCTGTGCTACTTTCTGACTGCGCTCTGGCGACTGGCGCTGCTTGGTCTTTCGCATCACGCTGTTTCCCTTGAGCCATGGAGTGTTACTGCCCTTCTCAACTGAAGCAGAAAAGCTATCACAAAAAGATATAAGGATGGAGAGGAGATGATGGTGTGGGAGTGAGCTGAAGTCAGGGAAGGCACAAAAGTGTGAGAGAAGGGAGGAAGAGATCTGTTTCTGCTGCTACAGGCCGGTTAGTGGAGCGAACTGACACGCACTGACATCTCTCTTCCAACTAGCCAAGCTAAAAAGAGACTTACTACTTGTTTATCAAACTACTCATCTCCTTTGATCTTATTTCTCTCTGTCCTCTTGCTTCTGCAGCTGCCCTGCAGGCCTCGTGTCTGAATTTTTCTGCCTGGATGGACATGGAGTGCTCCTGTTTTTGCCCACGGCTTAAGTTACACCTTGTAAACCACAACACACCCAGCCCATGTCTGTAGAAAACAGTGCCACAGTTAAAGGGTCATTTGCAAACTGCAGATGCAGTTAAGAAGAACAATAACCTTATTGATAAAATAGGGTTAATGTTGATCTTCAAATTTACTATTAGAAGATGTATTCTTCATGGCTACAATAACAGTCTTTTTTTTTCAAGCTTTGCCTTGTGGCTCTTTGGGACTGGATAGAAAAAATAGTAAGTCTTACTCCAATAAATGGATTGGACAGAACAACTCCAGTGTGCACGGGGAGGAGGAGGTCAGAGCATTTAGCAAAGTCAAGGTGGCAATAACCAGAACAATGCCAGACTGACTTCTAGCCAGTCATATTAAAAGCTGTATAACAAAGGTGCAATCAAACTCCACGACCTTAAGAAAATTTTATGTAATAATGGCACGGTTTATTTCCCTATCTACACGTTATTATGGAAGACCAGAGTCAGCCAAAACACTGCTATATTCAAATATGTCTGTTGTCAGCTGGCAGCAAAATATATACAGTAGGTAATATATACTGTGGACCAAAGCAAAACAAGTCTATCCTCAAGAGGCAGGGTAAAGTGGGGAGGCAGCGAGAACAAGATAGAGAAAGATACAGGGACGGAGAGAGAGCAACAAAGGACTGTTTTCTGCTAGGTGGGTAAAGTGTGTCCAGGGGGCAGCTGAGTGAGCACACAGCACACAAAGCCTGTCATTAGTGTTGGCTTCCTGCAGACACAACAAACAGTGCGTCACCAACAGGACAGCCATCAGTATGCGGGTGTGTGTGTGTGTGTGTGTGTGTGTGTGCGTGTGTGTAGGTGTGCGTGCGTGCGTGTGTGTGTGTGTGTGTGTGTGTGCATAGTTATTGTGTGTAGATTGAGCAATACACTCAAGCGTGTGTTGAGCTTGTCTCCTCTGACACAGACCTCCAGGATCACAGCCTGTGTAGTCAGTCTTCTGTGTGACATTCATGCTTGTGTCATCTACAGGCCCCACATCCAAATGCCCTCCTTATCTCACTCATCAGAGCTATGATTAGTGAGTGAAGGAATGTGCTGGGGCCAGGACTGACTCCTGTCTGACCTCGGCCTTTCCCCCCTGTGTGACCTGACATGACCCCACTCTGAGCTCACACAACTGCTTTTACACAGTGGCAGCCACAGACCATTACGCTGAACACCTGCTCCTGCACATAGAGCCACTGACAGACAGAACAACCCAGGAGCAATAACCGACCACTTTGACTTGTACATACGTATGTATCAGAATGGCCTTTGCACACACTCATGCAGCCTTTACCAGATTACACAGAGATTACAGAGGAGTGGGTTACTCAGGCCACCTGTTGCTCATACTGTGGTCCCAGGGCCCACT